TCCCCTTTTGCTTTGTTGTCCGCAGGCGAGCTACTACCGGTTGTTATGTCAGAGTCCCTTATGTGTGTTACCAGGGGAGTTTACAGGAAATCTACCAGTGAGTGTGTGTCACTTTCCCCCATAGAAACCACAGGCTTATGCTCTGAGCTAATACAAAGGCCAGTTTTATCTAAGTGGAGCATGGACGCTAACAACTTGGGTTCTGTTGTACGTGTACTGATGCAGGTTTGCATCAGTAAATCCTGCGATTAACTCCTATTTTTTTTTTTTTTTTTCAAATGAGATGCGTTGTTAGCCGACTGATGTTTATTATCTTTTCTGCACTTCAAAGTATTGATGTTGTTTGACTTTAGGTGTAGAAGTTAAGGAGTTGCACACTTAGATACTGAGCGTTTCGTTCAATAAAAAATAATTACACTACAATATAGTACAGTGATTCCCAACCACTGTGCCGTGGAAAATATTCAATTTCACTTAATTGGTTTGAAAACTTTTTTTTTTCTATTTATTTATTGCATACAATTTTTCTTTTTCTCGGCAGAACAATTAAATCCTCTTCTGCTAGGTGGCAGCAGATGGCTATGAAAACTTAAAAAAAAAAGATAATCAAAGCTGTTGAAGAAGATCTTTGTGAGTGTCTTTCTTCAATTCTTGGCAGTATATCAGCGTTGTGTTCAACTAAACAGGAGTGCATTTTCAGTCAATTTAAACTAGAAGATTAGTATATTTCATTACATATACTTTTTTGTTTGGTGGTATGGGTTTTCCCTGATCACATATTTGTGCCGTGGTTCAAAAAAGGTTGGGAAACACTTATATAGTATATGTTGAAAACACTCCCAACATCCTATCTCCAGTGATATGATAGAGCCGTGTGGTGCACGATCCCTGTTGTTTGTTGTTAAACACACTGAATATTTTGTGAACTTCGCGGTGGTTGTAACCTCTGTCATTAGCTAGAGAGCCAAACCTGGAATGTAATGCTGTTTTTATTTATTTATTTATTTACTTTAAGTTGATTTGTTGCAGCAGATTACATACATGTATTCCAAAGCTGTTCTGGTAACAGCGCTTTGACGACTTCTGATTCTTTTACGCCGACTCATCTGACAATTAAGTCAAGTGGAGTCGACGGGTTTAGGAGCTTCATCGCGTTGACAGAGGAGGAACTGCACAGATACACATGTCAAACAATGAGCACACGCTGCCATTCTCCATACAGTACTTTCACAGCTTCAGGTGTTCTATCAGCTCCCAGTCAGATGTTCTTATCTCGACTGACTTTTTTAACTCCTGACAATTTCATCTTGTAGGTTGAAATGCACCTCAAGCCGCAAATCAAGCTGGTGTTGGTGTGTGTTTTTGTGCACAATTTATTTACGTGCATTACCATACAGTCCATTTTTTAAGTGATGATATTTATTGGTTAAGTCACGATTTTGTCCATTTTTTAAGTGATGATATTTATTAAGTCAAGATTAAAAAAAAATTCTTATATTTTTAGAACATACCATATGGGCACTTTGGGTAGTCCGTGAGGGCACCACGCTGATCTAAATGAATGTTGTTTTTCTCAATCTATCTATAGCGACTAGTTGACTTTTTTTTTCACCTTTTGGTCGTTAATATTTCCCATCCTCGCATTCAAATTGAACGCATCTGTGCCATTTTCTTTGAGATACCCGTCTGTACTTTTATTCTGTCCTTTCATTTATGCATTAGCCTCGCGTCACAGCAGGTTGCAGCGCCACCCTTCTATTATCCTTTTAACCGTACTCTGTTCCTGCTCGCCAGTTATATCTGTTATGGCCTCTCAAATAACTTTAATTACTGATTAGGATTCCTTGTTCACAAAGCAGCCACTCAAAAGTAATTGCTCAATAAAGAGAGGGGAAGTTGATGTATCAAGTTGGTGTTCCCACTGCTTCTCTCATTAGTGCTCACTTGGAGCTTTCATCTCCCTCTTGTCACAAATGGAGATGGCTTCATTCATGGCACAGGAGCCGGTCTCAGTCAGTCTCGCTTGCGTCGCTCCATGCAGAGCAGACAGTGCTGAGAATGTTATGTGGTTGTTGATTCAGAGTTATTAGAAATTGCTCCTGCTGGCGGTTGATTTCCTGAGTTAAAACCTTAAGCCATATCATATGTTGATGTAGAAATGCGTCGTGGGGGCTTAAAACGTTGAGTTCTTGGCTCATTTTCTTAGTTTTACTGTCAGGGATTATGTAGGTGTAAGTGCTTCTATAATGTACAGGTCAAGTACCTTATATTAGGTAATATATAGGGATGGTTCGATCCGATACGCAGGATCGATATTGGTCTGATATTGGTCAAAATGTCAGGATCGAACATTACAAAAAAAAAAAACAACTATAGCCCATTTGATGCTTAAGTCCAAGTGCTCAACTTAACTTGGTGTGACATGCTGTGAACACTATGACCTCCCGTGGCATGCCTGAGGAGAAATCAGTCTCATCAATTATATCAGTATTGGCAGATACTCCTAGTTGCATTTATTGGTATTGGGCATGAAAAATTTGTCTAGATACTCCTAGTTGCATTTATTGGTATCAGGCATGAAAAACTTGTCTAGCCATCTTGTGATAAGGGGGTACAATGAATTATTCCCAAAAATGCAGAATCTAGAGAACCTAAAGCATGTGTGTCAAACTCAACTCAACTCTTAAAAGTTTCTTAACCTAATTTTTAATTTAATGAGTAAAAATGAAGTACATATCTTCATTGTGTACCACTGTGGCCTAGTACCAAAGGATCGATGGACTGGTACTGGTCCCCTGATCTATACAGTCTTCCAGGTATAACCAGCCCTTTAAGGGGATCTGTATTGCTGATGTGGCCCTCGGTGAAAATGAGTTTGACACCCCTGACCTAAAGTATCACTTCATTCATTTATTTATTTATTTCTTCATATTTTTGGAATCGAATTGAACTGAATCCTCCTGCCTTTGAATTATAAAATTGGAGATCAAGTGCATTTCCATCGTTTTAAAATACACGTTCAAATTCCGATTCAGAATTAGCCATTGTCCCACACCTTTAATAGGATTCTTTCTTTTTTCTTCAACATTTTCCCCTGATCTATACAGTCTTCCAGGTATAACCAGCCCTTTAAGGGGATCTGTATTGCTGATGTGGCCCTCGGTGAAAATGAGTTTGACACCCCTGACCTAAAGTATCACTTCATTCATTTATTTATTTATTTCTTCATATTTTTGGAATCAAATTGAACTGAATCCTCCTGCCTTTGAATTATAAAATTGGAGATCAAGTGCATTTCCATCGTTTTAAAATACACGTTAAAATTCCGATTCAGATTTAGCCATTGTCCCACACCTTTAATAGGATTCTTTCTTTTTTCTTCAACATTTTTTTACTTGAAAATGTTGGATAAATGTGTCAAAAATGATCGTTTCAGTGGCGTCAGAAACATTGTGTGCCAGCCGGGCGCGATGATTGGATGAAATGTTCGAGAGCCTAACCTAGCAAAACCTTTTATTGTGTCAGATTGATGCAGAGTTTGCATGTGACGTCCAGAAACGAGCTGCAGCCCATTGTGTAGGGGTCGCTTGGTGATGAAGCCCATTTTTATATTGCTGTAAATGCTTTTTTTTTTTTTTTGGCTTGCTCTATTTATACTTGTGTTTCTTTGTTGTAGTTGTTTGTTCCTTTTTTGT